TAGACTTTGCCTTCATATTCATGCTCCAATTGTACATCAAAGCTTTAATTTTAAATTCAGTAGACGTCAGTTTAATCTCAAAAGAATATGATGTCTTAGAAGTTAAAACATTAAGTGCAGCTAATAGCAATCTGTAAGAGATTCTGCTTTCGATATAGCTGTTTGTAATGAGAATCACTGAATTGAAGTTACTCAACAAGCATTACCTGTTATCTTGAGTGACTTGCGAAACCTTCCACTGATTGTACAGAAACTAAGGCTTTCACTTGAATTTCTACATAACCATCTAGAAAGATTACTAATTGCTATAACACTGCTTGTTTGTTCCCATAGCAACTCTCACTTCTACTTTTTCTACCCTCTTCCACAATGTCCCAGTAAATAACTTCCTAGGAGGTATATTATTGTCCTCCTACACACAATAAAACTAGGCCCTTAACTACTGCCTTAATATTTACTGCTACTTTCCCACATACATTTCCCTGCCTAATAACATAGTGAAGATACATTGATGACATACAGCATTTTAACCCTTAGCCCTTAGCTGTGTAAGATATGTTTGATTTACTCCCCGCTGTTTCAAAGGTGCTCATTCCTGCCTCCATTTTCAAAACAGAAGGTCAGACATATTGCAAGGGTTTGTAATTTTCCATATTCCATACATCAAAATCATCAGAAGGACAAGTATCACACAAATAGGGGAGAGTGTTCATTTACAGTGTTTTCTTACATGACGCAGAAATGGAAGATCTGCTCAAACAACCACTAAAAACTTTGCTGACCAAGCTCTGCACTTGCCAAGAAAAATCCAGCTGAAAGAAAAGGCATTTCAACTACAAATTAATACTGGATGTTACTCTCTCAAAACAAGCAATCCAAGATAAGAACTGAGAGAGAACAGTGTTACAACTTTGCAAAACTAGTATGACGTGATCTAATTCAACTTCAGTGGAGCTAGGTTGGGCCACATGCCCACAGCAACATGAGTCTAACTGCTACCTCTCAAAAGTAGTAGCTGAACCAAAACCTTCTATTACTACCTTAATTAACCTGACCCAGCCATGCACTTTAATAATTACATGATTTAAAAATGGTAGCTTTTCTTAGCTAAGTTTCCAAAGAATTCTGTGAACTTAAAACCAGACACGTATGTACTAAGAAGCTGGCCAAGAAAGGCCCAGATGGTACAGTGGAAAGATAAATCAATCTATCAGTGGTTTAGAATAAAGAAACACCAGCTTCCTTTGTTGCGTGAGGCAGCAGCTTCTTTATAACCAAATTTCAGTGCTCTTACGTAATATAAGTTTTTACATTCTTTAAAAATCACAGCCACCATTTGTTGTTATGAAGAAAAAAACACCTACATCGTTTCAACAACAGTATGAACCAGCAATGCTCAGCTCTTGTTGCCATGGATTTTTCCCATGTATCCTACAAATGCATTACCCGCCATGCAAAGATGTATACTTAACATTCAGTTGCTGTGAGATTAATTTATGCACAGTGCCAGGAATGCAGCCTTGAGGAAAAAAAGAAACCATAATTAAAAATGGCTTTGTTGTTTTGATCCTGATGTTATTTTAACTTCAATGATTAATTACAACAATATATCTATGACAAATGAGGAAGAACATTTACCTCTTTAGTTTCTTAAATTCTGTTTAAATGGTCATTACGAATGAGTGTAGAATTAATGAAGTTACCTTCAAATTAACTCAAAATTTGGAAAGTATTCTGTAGACACAAGGGGCAGGTAGTTTACAAGAGTCCCAAAATAAATGTTGGACAAAGACAATAGAGTAAATACACATCTCAAAACATTTACCCAAAGAAATAGCTGGCCCTTTTTAAGTGGACTTAGAGGGTATATACAGATACTTATCTGAATGTAAGACGGTGGGGCTCTTTTTGTGAAAACAGAAAGTGTAAGAATAATGAATCTATCCAGGGGTAACTTCGCAAAGCACGAGAAAATATTTCAACCCACTATGACTGAAAAGTGAGAGCTGAGGATGCAAGGTTACTCAAACTTCTGCATTTTGATAACCCTAAACTACACAGATAAAACCTTCAGATCTGAAACGAACACCATGCTCCAATCTCTACTTCTGCCACTTCAGGAAACAGCTAACTGAATCTTTTCATTTTTAATATCTCAAGACTGTGGTCTCTAGACTACACAGTATCCTACAGCATTTGCAAAATTCTAGCTGGAGGGATAGCCAATCAACTAATAACTACTTGAATCTTTCCAGATTACTCTTAAGATAGAACAAAATAATATTATGACTACTCAAATGTATGATTGTCTACCACCTGCAAATTAAGAAGCAGAAAGGATTAAATTTAAGGCTTCAAAAACCAGTTTGACCTCGATCTTACTTGTCATGTTTATAAGTATTTTGTTACAAGATAGGATGGATCTTCTGTTTTTGTGTTCTGACAAAATGAGAATTAACCTACAGGAAAAGAATGTACGCCATTCCATGAAGATACGGTTATGATACAAACTTTTTCTATATCCTAAAAGACATAAAAATTAAGTGTAATTTTTGTGAGAACACTTTGAGAATTTTATGAGAACTATGGTTTGTTGTACTTAACATGTCTAAAAATCCTAATTAACTTCTAGTCTTGAAACATCTATATTCTAGCTACATCTTTCAATGAGCTACTGTTATTTGTCCTATGTAACAACCAAGTGATGATACAAATTCATATTTTATTCTTTTTTGGGGGATAGTTTTAACTCGGGAATTTAACAGTTTGCACAGATCCTTCAGATTGACTGTTGGCTGAAATCACTAGGCTTCATACAATTAACCACATACTACTCAAACATGCCTTGAAATTTATAGCATCATCAAGATAAATACAGTTTTATCAGTCCAAGCAGCTTATTTTCTGCCACTGAAGATCTTTTCCACATGCAATATTTTTAACATCTTATAAAAAAAATATAGATGAATACGTACAATTCAGAGGTTATACTGAAATAAACAGAAGATTTGCCATAGGCCTTGTGCAAGAATTTTGTCCTCAGTATTGAGGACAGCATCAAAATGGGTTTTAGAAAGAGTCAAGAGGGCTGGGAAAGGGATAGTCAAACTCCAGTTCAGAGAAACTGCAGGAGTTTGTGGAGAAACCTTTTTCTTTGTTCATACTTCTAACTTTCTAGAACATCTGCCTCCACAGTGCTGAGCGTGTATGGAATTTACACTGCCAGAAGCAGCCCAGTCTCCAACAAATGCAGCAGTTGAGTTTTATAAAGTATCAGAATAGTAAATAAGGCCATCCTTGCTGCTGGAACAGCCAATCTCTATCTCTAGCACAGCTAACGTAGGCAAACAACTGTGCCAGAAAGAAAGCAACCTACTTTGCTTATGCCTAATTTTGCATATTATGAAAATGGGAGGCAACACAGTAACATAAAACAGTTTGAGTCAGAAGAAATGTATGCTGCAACACTCAATTACAGCTGGGTGAATTGAGGACTGTGTTACACATTTAATATGTTTTTCCTCTCACTTTGCAAGTCAGGCTAGATTTTTTAGTATTAGAAGTTCAATCTAAAAACTATTTGGAAATGTTATCATGCAATAAATTAATTGAGACCATAATTTCTACCCTTAGAGAAGCACAAACACAAGTTGTTTCATAGATATTTTATCTCCCTACTGTGGAGGATAGAGAGGGAAAAGGAACTACATGCTTTTTTTCCTTCCTGTCTGAAGTTCCTGCACAGTAGTAACGCCAGTTATATTTGAGGAGCTCTATCACACAGCCATTACCAGAGTCAAGTAGTGTCTGTTCATCACTGCACAGTACTGAGCTCTGACAAAGGTTCCAAACAGTGATGCTTACTGTACAAATAGTATTATCAGACAAAAGGTGCCATACATCTTGCCAGCTCACTTTACCCAGTGCATTTTCCCAATAAAAGGTTACTTTTCTTTTTTTCTCATTAACATGCCAAGCTCTCATTTTGCCCAAAATTGCTTATAGAAACTCTATCCTACAACTATTTTTGAAGGCATCAACATCATCACTACGTGAATACTGTGAATTATCATTCCTAAATATAAACTGCTTTTTTCTTGCTGTAAATACCATCCCATTAAAGCCATCTTCATTTCACAAACCACTTTTCTATCACAAAGAACTTTCAATATGCTGAAGCAGTTGCATTACCATTTACAAGCCTGCCACTATTCAATCTCTCCTTCATAGTTTGTATTTAGAAAAGGCTGTCCAGAAGTTTAGATTAGGTTAAACAACTGTGTTTCTTAATGATTGGAAGGCAGCATCACAAAGTGTCTGTTAGTCATGACCCTCATTCTGAAATAGAAGGTTAAGGGGTAATATATTGATTTGGATAATACATTGTTTTGGATCAATGCACTATGTTCATTTTATAATAAATAAAAATATAAATAATCTAATTTGAACTAAAACTAAATTGCTCAAACTAGTACTCTTTGAATGTTAAGTCAAAGTTAATCTCTATTAGAGGTATACAAAAGAAAAGTCAGATTTCAAAGCACTGCTAGAGAGAATCTCTACGGCCTGATCACTTTCCCTTAGGAAATTAGGCATTTCCATGAAACAGAACTGAATAGATGTGGCAGACTTTTCAAATGTGCCATAATTTTAATGAACTTCCTGGCTCGTTTTTAAGTCAAGTCTGAATTCTTCTGAATATCCCCACAGGCTTCTGCAGTTAGGCATCCAAACCAAGCACCCAAGGTTAGAGAGCATTTTAGTAAACGTAATATGCATTCAGCAGTTCCCTAAGAAAATACTTGTAAGCATTTAACTCATTCTTTGCAGAGCACCATGGAATAAATAAACATTAAACTTCACATGGAAAAGATCTGTTCTGTCTGGTATTTCTGCTGCGTTAGAAAGGTCACACTTCGTATTTTACAGTGCACAAAAGAAAAATCATTCTCTAATTGACTTCAATCATGAAATGACAGAAATGGAAACCTCTGACTTACTGTAAGGCGTCGTATCAGTTGGGTCAGGAGGTGGGAAGTTTTCAGTGAAGTTGACATTACATAAGTCAGTGCTACAACAGCAGAACCGATATGTTCCATTCTGAATCAAGGAAGGGGTGGTTGTAACTATACACTCCTCAAAGTGACACTCCTGTGGATCTCCTATATGAGACCAGCATCCTGTAAACAGAGGTAAATTAAATAATTATTCTTGTATAGGGGAGCATTAAATTAATTTTACTGCATGGATAATTTAAGCACACCTATAAAAATCAGTACCATATAATACTGAATTATATGTTACAATGGAATGGAAACAGTTATCATAATTTGTTTCATGATTTCACTACCATTCTTTAAACCAACAACTGAATAATTTCTTTCAGAATTTGTGATAGACAAGGAGAAGAAACACAGGCAGTGTACAGATCACCATCAAAGGTGTCTACCTCTAAACCTCAGTACGACAAAACCTGAGTTCTTGAGCCTTCTAAGCAGACATATCCTATTCCTCATTTCTTTGATACCAAGACAATACCACTACCATCTGATCCACAGCCTAAACAAAACTGTAACTTAATTGTCTTCTTAGAGCTAGAAAACAAGACCACATCAATAATTTGGTGCTTTGGGCATAATTTCTAACAATTGTGTCTTTTTCAGTGTCAACTGGAATCTTTCTGGAATCTTCTACCACAACTTATTTCTTGCTTAGTGCAGGCTTTCTCTTCCTACAGCAACTGTCCCTTCTCAAATACAGCCAATGACAGTTAAACATTGTTTATGAACAAGTGCCTGGAATAGAAGAAAGCAGAGTAGGGGCAGAAGTGAACAACCAAACTGAACTGCACATGTTTGTTAACTGGTTTTCATTCTGTTCATACATTTTACTACATTAACTGGCACCCAAATAACCTAGCAGACTCCCTGAAAATAGAAATCAAAGCTCATCTTCAGCAACTGCAAGACCCCTTCCTCCCATCACGCTCTCAGTAAAAAAATAATGAATTAACAAACAGTATGTCACAGTTTTGCTCTAGAGCTGCAGTTCCCTTTGTTCAATCAACCTGAATGTATATTTTTAAAATGACATTCACTTTTGAATCTATCATAGTATCAATAAGTATACTAAGGTACACTCAAGACAGTTATCTTCCTCTGGACATCCTAAACAACGAGCAATATGAGTTTTATTTTCTTTACCTGCATACTGCACTCTTTAATCTCTTCCAGAAATTGTTTATTTCAAAAACCTTTCTGTTCATCTTCAAAATTGCTAAATGGGAAGTCTAATTAGTACAATGCACAAACAAAACAAATTTTGCAGAAGAGCATTCTCAGATTTATTTGTTACATTACAAAAAGCTGAAGAGTAGCAAAAACTAGTGCACTTACCACAAAATGTCACATACCTTGCTTTACAAGATGTATGTCTCCTTCCCGTGTTTTTTCCCAAAGTCCATAGCAGGTACTACCTTTCATGCACAAAATGGTGCCATTTTCTTGGGAGATTCGGCTCTCACTGATTCCATGGTCCTGCTGATACGGGTCCTTAAATGCACACAGCCGCTCCTCACTCTGTGCAGCTTTAGACAAAGAAAAAAAAAATTTTTTTGTCACTAACTTCATTCATAAAATTTTAGCTTTAATTATAGGAAGACTACAGTCTTCTGGAAAACTATGTTTCACACCATCATGAACTAAAATTTTCATTCTTTAAACTGTACTCCAACAGTCAGAGACAAAAATCCTGAAGTTACTTTTATAAAGAGGTCAGAAAAACCTCAGAAGCTGTTTCAAAATGGATCTGCAAATGTTTGAAGAAAATTTCATTGCATAGCCTGCATCATTTATTCACAAGAGTAAGTTATGCAACTGTTAGCTGGTTTCTTCAGCAACCATGAGTTATTTAATTGTTCCCAGGTTGTAAACTAAGCCAACCTTGTTCGGAGTGCCATCCAACCCAGTGCTACCCTATCGCAGCATCATGCTCCCCCTTCACTGATCTCTCTTTTTCCCACATTTTATCCATCTGTTGCACTGACTTCTTTTTCCTCAGCAGCCCACTAATTTGGGCTATTTCACACAACATTTACAACCACTAACAGAAATACAAACAGCTGAGTAAAATCCATCCACTCTGACCAATGAATCTGTGAAACACTGAGTGTACATAAGAGCAAAGCTGTACAAAGACTATCCCCACAGAACATCCAGCAGGAAGACTTTATGTACAAAAAGAACACAAAAGTTAATACACATGATCACCTGAGAAAATCCTTGAGTTTTTATTAAAAAAAAAAAAAAATCACAGAGAGCACGCTGATTTTAAGAATATTTGATTGACAAACTTCAAAAATTGAGTATCTTAAAAAGTCAGATGTTTTACACAAAATTCCTGTGGGAATTTTTGTTTATGTTGCCTTCAGTAAAGGACTCGACCAAGCTCATAGGCCTCTATCACCTTTTCTCTGAGAAAACACATTCAAAAAACAAAGTCTTTAGAAAAACAAGTCCAAGAAAAATAAATCCTGCATTTGTAGTGAATATGTTATTTAGACTATTTTCATTCCTCACAAGGATATGATTTTATAAAATGCTTGGAAAATCAGACGTGTAACTACAACACAATAAATGTTATTCAGAAGTACAGCTCTGCAAAGACCCCATCTCAGAAAGAGATGCACTATGCATCTCAACGAGTAGACTTCACTCTGTTCTTAGACTATGTGAAAGCATTGGGAGCAGAAAAATACAAGGTTGAGAAGGGGATAAGTGATATTTTGGGAAAAGTCATTCTGAACTTAAAATAGAATTGTAGAATATTATTGTCAATTACTAAAGGTACTGGCTACCTGCAAAATATTTCCTCATCGAGAATTTAATTGTTTTGTCATTTTGCAGCATCAACTCCAAAGATGCTGAGTTTCAGCAAGGCAGACTTATTGCAAAAAAAAATTGTATTATTGGTGCAGATGATTTGGTAACAGAAAGACAAAATGAGATCTAGATTCAGATCTGTGTCTCACTCATAAAGTTGTTGCTATTCATTAAAGAGTCAAAACTCAATATTCTCTTATGCTGAGGCAACTAGAAATAGCTATACCATTGAGAAAAGCCATCTGACAGTGACTCCTAGCTCATTCTGCAGCAGCAGTAATTAAAACAGCACAACTTAATGTGATTTTTAATGATCTGGTGGGGTGTATACGATCAGTTGAGCAGGTCAGTTTAGAAGCAGTAAAACTCTCAGAGTAGGTGACAGGAACTTCTTAAGCCACTGTAATTCAATCACTTGCTGCTCCACATACAGCACTAACCTAGGCCATGTTATTCATCCACCTTCCTATGCACTGATCAGCGTACAATTTATCCTTTACATCTGCACCCTGACTTTTGAGGCAATAAACATTCATTAAAAGCAGGAGCTGTACGTTGAGAAACTCAGTCGCACAAATTTCAGATTTAACTCCTTCTTTCTAAATGAGTAGAATAAGTTGAGTTATTGAGGACAAAAAGGTCATATTTTAAGATCCACTATGTGCTGCCTCAAGCAGCCCTTGCCAGTAGCACGCAGTACTTTTATTCTCAGGAACAGCTGAGTATGCCAGGCGTGAAGCATCTGTCCTACATTCCCTGCTCCACGACACAGGGCTGGACAAGAAATAATGGAGGAAAGGGTAGCAACCCACTACTGCAAGAGAACAGGAGCTGTCTAACTTTGAAAATCAGAAAGGAAAAATATTATCATTGACATATAATTTTCAAGAGGGAATAGGACAGAACCACGGGTTCTTGTGAAACACGACATATCTGCTCCAAGGGATACTAAGAAGGTTTTTAAATCAGTTGAGTGCAATAGCAGAATGGGACGAATGTCACTCGTGTTGTTGCTTGTTTACTGACTGCTCAAATTGCTACAGGATGAGCTTTCATGATTTGCCCTTATTGGGAAAAATAGATTAAAAAGAACTGAACTTAGAAAGCAGATTTGATTATCAAAATCAGGCAGATTTGGTTATCAAAAACCTGTTTCATTTTGTGTGTTTTTTGTTTTTGTTTTTGTTTTTGTTTTGTATCATTTTTTGGGGGGGAAAACTAAAACTCCATAGAATTCCAGGAAAAGTCCAGTTTCATAATATCTTAATTGATTTAAAAAAGAAAAAAGAAAAAAAAAGCTTTCCTTCAGAACTAAGCAGGGGGGAGTGGGGAATTACTGTTGTTATTATTATTATTTTGCTTTCCACAAACAAATTTATATGGTACAGCTATATGTATCATGTCCTGAGGCACAGATCACTTCAACTACTATTTTTCTGGACTCTTCACTTTTCTAGCTAACTATTAGGATCATGTTTGAGAGGCAAGAACTTGACGAAGCCACTTGTAAAAACACAAGTTGTTAACTGCTGTGCTTGATGCTGTCCAACTGCACACTACAGAAAGCAATCACTACCAAAGGCTCTTCTGATTAGAAGAAAATGTACAACAATATCTGCAGAGGTAAGGAAGAGGTAAGCATGGCAAAATGATAGCATATAAGTGCCTGTCTTCATCAGTTTTCTAGCATGCCAATAGAAACGCAAGTTCACTTGCCACAGTTTAATGTCAGATGATCTCAGCGGGAAACTTTTCCAATGCTAATAAAGGTTATGTACCCAAGAACAAGAGTTTTCACCCTGACCTCTGCACATTCATGCTCCAATTGTAACAGAGTAGCACAGCCCCTATGGGAGCAGTACCCACCGCAATACTCTGCTGAACCCTGCCCCTTCCCTGATGGCTTGGAACATCTGGGGAACAGGAGTTTTTTCTATGGTCTGTGTGTATGTTCATTGTTGCAGTTCTAATGCCAAGGAGAATTGGGTGGGACACTCAGATCTCGAGAAACCATCCGGAAGAACCACAGAATAGATGAGTCACTTCAATTTCCTTGCACGGTTTCTGCACATTCCTGCTCTGGGAATCTGGTAATACAGTTTCCCTCTGCCAGTCAATGGAACGAGTCAGTTCCAAAAACTTTTAGTATCGGAAAACCTGAAGTCAGGCTCTGGAAGCAGTCACTAGCCTACATGAGTTTGCCTAAAACCTTCCCTCACCAAAAATGGAGATGCCACTATGAAAAAACACAAGGGTGCTGGGGTTCTGTCTTAAATTGTATTTCAACAGAATTCTCCGTCTTCGTGCACAATGCTGCTGCTCCTCTGCCTGTATGCATACTCCTCCTGGCCAACCTTTTCTGTCAGCTTCAGTCTGCTCAGGAGCCAAGAGCTGAGCCAGGTGTAGGCTGAGCTGGGCCACAGACACCTGTCTGCATCTTCAAACCAGAGAAACAAAGAGGCCATTTACAGGTCAAGCTAAGCATCTCCTCAGACTAGAAATGCCCAGCACTGTGCTCTGCTAACAAACCCAGCACCTAGCACCAAAGCAAGCGGTGGAACAGGTTTTCAAGGCTGTCAGTAGCACTGCTGAAGCCATTTTTTCAGAGCTCTGCGCTTTATTAAGAGATACCCCACAGCAACCCTGTCGCAACCCCCTTCATCTTTTTACTCCTGCACAAGCTAAGCATCATGAAAACAACTGCACTAAAACCATTCATCTGGACTGCAGTTGCTCTAATTAATGTGAAGGTCCATAACAACTCTTTCATCACTAGGACTAAAACATAACAAAGAGAAAAAAATACCAAAGATTCTACACCTACTAGGAAGAGTCCTCTGGAGAGAGTTCACTCTACTTAAATCAAAACTATCTGATCAACTGGTATGCAATAAAAGTAATAATTTCCGTATTTCTGAAATTACAAAGAAAAGGAAGAAGTCACATTAAAGGCTACCTCCAAAACGGAAAAAACAAAAACAAAAAAAAAACACTATTTTTTTTAAAGTATGTAAGAACAAAGAAGGATTTTTGAGGCTTTCATTGTCATTTTAAAAATGTGATTTTTTATAGTAAATATATATTTCTTTGTCACACAGAACTTCACACAGAACTCATACATTCAGATCTTTTCTAATTCACTTTCGATAACAGATGCAGTGAGATTTTCAAGGAAGTGACAAGGGAGTGCTTACACGTCATAAACCACTGAAAAATTTACCATTACAGACAACTGGAAATAGATGGGGCTAATGCTGAAAGGGACAAAAGAGTAAAATTTGAACAGCTAGTAAAAAAGATTTGAAATGCCTATTTTCCATTTCCCCTGAATTTGTGTGCCAGACAAACTGTAACAAAATAATTTAATAAAAATAATGAAGTTAGCTCAAAATTCAGTTCTCTCATCCAGCAGGGATTTCCAACATAAACAAGAATGAGGGGCACCATTCCCAAAGAGTGGAGCAAGCACTTTACCTTCTTATCACAGAAAGGAAAAGAAAAAAGAAAAAAGTTGGTTTTCCCAGCCCATTTTACATTTCTACTTCATGCAAAAATGAACTTCATAAAGCCAGTTTCAAAGTTTCATGCTTAAAACACGAGCAGCATTAAACTGGGTATTTAAATAAGTAACCTAAGAAACACTACATGCACTCAGCTTTCTTGTCGGGCTGTTCTTCCTGCTGCACCTGATGATCACACACACTGT